GACTCTTCAGGAGACTGGACAAGACCCTCTTCACTAGGGTCACCTGCCGGTTTGCAGCTGTCACAGGAGGGATTGCCCCTAGCTAGGTGCAGGATGCACATCTGGATTTCTCTGGGCATTGCAGTGGTAGGAAAGGAGTTTTCCTGTTGACCAAGACTAGGAGAGCAGCCATGCAAGTGGAGATGGGGTTTTGTTGGCATGGTGGGATCAGCTTTTTCTTCCCCCTGTTCTGTCTCCAGATCTTTCTCTAATGATATGTTTATGATAAAGGGGAAACAATGAAATAATCTCCACAGGCTTGACTGACTGCAGGGGAGAAGCCACCCAGCAGGTGCATGTGTAGACCTGCATGAGGTTCTCTGCTCTAGGGGCAGGGAGGGCATTTGCCAAGCATGGCCCTGGGCCTACCTTCTAGGCCATGGTGCAGACTTGGGAGGGTGACTGACCCACAGGAGAGCATCAGAGAGGCCCCTGTAGGGACCACGTGGCGATCAAGAACCTGGGCTTGATGTTGACCTGAGCTTGGGCTCCGTGCCTGGTCACTTCCTAACCGTGTGCAGGGAGCCCCCTGCCTCCTTGCCCCCTAGCCTCAATTCCCTGATGCTCTGAGAGGAGAGGCGGGCGGGATGGAGGGAGCATGAGCCTGTGTGTCCTGTGTGCTGGCCCAGGAGGCTTGCTGCCTCTTCAGGTGGGAGATGTAGCACCTCTGGTGGCTCAGGGGCACTTGGGGAGAGGGCACTGCTTGAGACGGACAGCAGGGGAGAGCTGCAGAAGGTACTGGAGCCTCCCCTGGCCCTGGGAGCTTGTTTGCTTGCCCAGGGTCAGCCTGCTGGAGAAGTGCTCACTCCAGGTGCTCTGGGTGCTGGGGAAATCAGGGTTTGAGCAAAGCTCCAGGAGATGTGGTCTGCAGCCACAGGAGGCAATCTCCTTCCGAGTGCCTGCCACAGTGGCTGCGCGGGAGTGGGGGGGTGCACGTGGTCAGGAAAGCTTCTGGAAGATCGCACCCACCACACCCACCTCTCTTGGCCCTCTTGCTCTTGTTCCAAACTGCTGCCACAGCTACCTGCCAGTCACCCTGAGAATCCAACCCAGGGTCCTGGTATCTGCCCCCGCTCCTCCACCCTGCCAGCCTCTTCCCTCCTTAGCCTTCCCTTGTCTGGAACTTTCCAAAGTCATGGCTGCCTAGGCCCCCTGTGTGGGCTCTTCCTTCCCTAAGACACTGTCTTCCTCTCAGAAGACCTTAGAGTCTTATGGGGTCTTCTTATGAGTCTTCCATCTCAGCTCAGTTATCCACTTCTCTGGCCCCAAGCCTGAAGAAGGCTCCTCTCTGAGCTATAGGCTGACTTAGGATTTTATCTAGTGTGGCTGGTAGAGGCTTCTGCCATAGGGCCTAGGAGGTGAATTGTGAGGATGCAGTTGCAGGAAGGTCCATTTGGCTGCAAGTCTATGGAAGGCATTTTTTAATATCTATGTTATTTGCAGAGATTCCACTCTGATTTAAACCCAGGGCTGTGGCCCTGCAGTGGGTCTAGGGACCTTCTTGTACACAGGACAAAGCAGAGGGATTGAATATAACCTGCGGACATGTCTTCTTTAGCCCAGAGGTATTTTGAAATAAAATAGAAGATTTCACGAAGTGGATTTCAGCACTTCAAGAGAGAAAGTTCTCTAGGTCTGATCCCACTGGGCCCACAAACCTTAGCGGCAGCCCCTGGCTGGCCCTACCTGGGGACAGTGTGGTTAGTCCCCCTGGGCCCACTTCTTCTGTGTTCTCTAGCTGGAGATCACAGGAGTCGAATGAGGTACGTGATCCTGGTGTGTTGACAGTGACCGTCCCCTTGTCCTGGATGGAGGCCCATAATTCTGTTTCCTTCCTGAAGGAAGAGGGTGGGGTACTTCCAAGGCCCTCAGCATAAGCGGCTGCTTCACCTGCATCTCAGCCCGGGAGCAGGTCTGTTTGAGAGAAGAGATCCCTGGGCAGAGGGGCCTGCCGCCTGCAGCCCACAGTGCCCGCATGGCACCCAGCACCCTCTTGGACCTCTGCTTCCTCTCCTGCAGGGCCCGGCCCCTCACCCTGTCCCCTCCTTCCTGAGCCCACTGAGAAGGCTTCTGAGAAAGAATGACTCATGCACGCCCCAAATTTCCAAGCTAGAAAGGCACTGGGAGAGCTCCCCCCCAGCCTCTGAAATTGCCTCAGGCCCAACCAGAAATAGCTGTGACAGTAGGGTCTGATCTTGCCCTTCTGTTGGGTTCTGCTTTGGTAAATAGATGCAGCCTTCAGACTAAATCCTGAAATGTTTCAAGATACTTGTTTCCTTTTCCTCTGAATTTTTATTCATTGTAAACTACATGGTTAAAGATAGTAAAATAAAAAGGTGAGATCTCAGTGCCAGCACTGTAATGTTACACATTTCTGTCTACTTTTTCAGTCCTTTCTCATATGTACACATGATTGTAATTATAGTACAATTAAAACTCATTCACTTCAGTATTTCCAGCACCCAGAACAGAGGTTGGCATGCAATAGGATTTAGTAAATGTTTGTTGACTGTAGAATATTTGTTTATGTAAGTATAAAGTGAATTCTTCTAATTGCATCATACACTGATTACCCTTGCAACAAGTTGTTAGATTTTATTTGCCACTTTACTGTATTTAGATTTTCCCCCTAATTTATGAGGATTATAAATACTGTTACAGACCACATAACTGTTTTTGACTGCTTGGAATTACTTTCTTAGAATAAATTTCAAGCATTTGAATTCTTGGATCAGAGGAAAGAGAATTAAGAATTATGGAAATTGCTTTCTAAAATCTTATTAATATTTATCCCTGTTGCTGGAATTGTTTGAAAATATTAGTTTTATCATAATCTCATCTGCTTTGTGGTTATAGTTTTCAAATTTTTGGTTATGTTGTAGTGTAAGCTGGTACCTAATTGTTTTGATTTGCCTGTCTATATGTGTGGTTATTAGTATGGGTTGAAGAATTGTCTAAGAATTTAATAACTTCCTTTTGTATGCCTTACCTAATTGAGTAGTGTTATAGATTTTTTAAAAAATATTTATTCATTTATTTGGCTGCCCCAGGTCTTAGTTGCAGCATGTGGGATCTAGTTCCCTGACCAGGGATCGAACCTGGGCCCCCTCCATTGGGAGCTCAGAGTCTTAACCACTGGGCCAGCAGGGAAGTCCCATGTTATAGATTTTTTAAAAATTGGATTTGGCTGAATTTCTCACATAAGTATAATTAACTCAATTTTTTCTATCATAGTAGCTGCCCACATTTTTCCTAGTGAGTGATTTTCCATTATTAATATCTGGTGAGTTGTTATAGGTGTGATTCTCTGTTCTTTGGAGAGCTGAGAGCATGGTTGTCAGAAGGATCTTAGAGCCCTCCCCTGCCCTTGATGTCTCTGACGGGGACCCTGGCCCAGCTGTGGCAGAGGCCACAGCTCACCTGCCTTGCTGGCACGAAGGGCCAGGGCAGCCCCGACCCCAGCCCACTTCTCCGTAGTCTTGGGCTCTCTGCACACTTTGTGTTGCTCTCCTGGCCCAGAAAGTTCTTTTGAGCTGGGATTCATGCTGGATCTCTATTTTGGACCAAGGCAGTCTTTGTAGAACTCTGCTGAAGAGGGCCGTTGCCTCTGCAGTGACAGGGAGGCAGCCATCCCATCCTTCTGACTCAGGACATCTAAAAATATCCTGGGCTGGGGAATTTGGAGGAGCCCATAATCGATCTGTGGACATTAGGCTCTTAAGAGACAGTAAGTGCAGTTTTGATACTGAATTGCCTCACAAGATGCATTAGTTGTATAGTATGGGAAGCCACCTGTCTGCCAGGTGTTGTAGAGGTGGAGGACAGGGACAGGGGCCCAGGATCAAGGTGTACTCATATCAGGAGGGCTCCTCCCTTGTCACTGGGGAGGTGCCCCAGAACTGGCAGGTGGCCCCTGAACTGACCGGCAGAGACCTGGTTAGAAGCAAAGATCCTCATCCCAGTTCTGCCTACATCATCAGCTTCCCAACTCGCAGCACATGTTCACGGTCAGGTCTGGTCATCCATCCAGCAAACATACAGTGGACACTTAGGACTCTGTGCTGGGCGCTCGCATATTGCTACAAAGGTGGCTGAGGCATGGTCCGCCCCTCAGGGGATTATACTTTAGTGGGGTAAGCAGGAATACTAATATCTATCTGTCAAACAAGCAGACTTATTAAATGAGTGTCAGTAAAGTTCCAGAGTGACCACACAGGAATCAGTAAATAGATTGCACAAGGTTTGAGCAAAGTGTCTATGAAGAGGTGGTACTCAGCCAAGTCTAGAGGGATGAATAGAATTCCAGGTGGGGCTGAGGGTGGAAGATGGAGGAGAAGGGAGAGGACCACCCAGCCTAAGGGTCAGAAGGACGGGCACCAGGAGGTGGATGCCATGGCCCTGGTGCAGGGAACCAGGCAGGGAGGAGGAGGTGGGTCTGATTGGCAAATGCCGCTTAGAAACCATGGAACGGTTTGAGGGGTCATGATGACCCCACGTGTGACAGACGAGGAGGCTCTGGGTCTTAAGTCCGCAAAAGCTGAGAAGGGGACCAGGAAGGGAGAGCCTCGGGCCTCAGAGGTGAGGAGCCCGTGTGCATAGCCTACGCCTGAGGACACCGTCTTCCACTGCTGCTGATCCAGCAACAGCGGGTGGCGGGTGATTTCTGGTTTTATCAGCCTCTGCCTGGTCAGCTGGAGTGGGGAGCGGGCCAGCGGCTGCAGCCCTGGTGAGGTTTGTTTGCTTAGTCTGGAGAAAGCCTGACTGGTGTGTTTGTTTGCTGTTTGCCCATCGTATAGCAGGTGTTTAGTGGTGAGGGAGCCGCAGAGGACATCAGCAGAGAGCTGGCCCAAATTCTGGAAGTTGGGAGCCTCTTCTGCCGGGGCAGGAGTACCCTAATTACTTCATCTAAGTTGGGAAGCTGTCGTGGTGAGAATGATGATGTGTCTCTGCTTCCATTCCAGATGCCGTAGGGCCCCCTGGGCCATCCCGGAGGAGTCGATCCCAGCGGCCAGTGGCTCCCAAGCAGCGCTCATGTGCCCAGCAGGCTCCCGGTCTGCCTCGGGCTCCTGCTGACGCACCTGGGAACCCCATCCCCCTACCTCCCCACCCGACATCCTGCTCCGCAACCTCCAGCCTGAGCCATGGAGGCCCCTGAGGTCCCCGTGGGCTCGCTAATTGACTTTGGGGCCAAGCCCTCTGTCTCCTCGCCTCTGGAGGCGCCCCCGAAGCTGCAGGATGGGGACAGCTCCCCAGGAGAGGGCGCCTCGGAGAGCGAGACCACGGAGTCGGCAGACAGCGAGAACGACATGGGCGAGTCGCCCTCTCACCCGTCCTGGGGCCAGTACCGCCGCTCCTCCTCCAACGAGTCCTTCTCCTCCAACCAGAGCGCCGACTCGGCCAAGGACGAGGAACTGCCGGAGCTCCGCGACTTCATGCGCAGCTACGTGGAGAAGATCTTCTCTGGAGGGTAAGCCCCAGCCCTCACCGGCCGCTGGCGCCTCCCGGACCCAGCCCCACCTGCTGCTTGCAGACCCCCTTGGGGAGATCCCTCCGCTTAGGGCTGGGCTTTGCTTCCTTTGCATCTGAGGTGAGCCCCATTGGCATGCCTTCCGAGGTGTTATAGCTGACAGCGAATTAGGGGTGCTGCAAGCCCAGGGGGTTTCAGGTAGCCACGCCTCTTGGTACCCAGACACAGCTGCTAGGATGGGGACTTGCCCTCGCACCTTTCTCTGGCCTCTCTTTGGTGGCTCCTGACGGTTTGAACAAGGAGCATTGATAGCTGCCGCTGAAGTAGAGGCTGGACCTGGGAGTCTGTTTCACAGCTGTTAGCAGCTCAGCAGGGGAAAGAGAAACATTGCTCGGTTCAGGCCTCAGGTCTCGATGTTGGTCTTGCATCTTTCACAGCAGCATGTGAAATGCCAAAGGTCCCTTCTCAGGAACCGCAGCATCAGCGACACGGTGGGGGAGGGGATTGTTAGAACCCCAGAGTCCCGGGCCCCAGCCAACCCGCTGAGTCAGAATCTGCATTTTAACAAGGCTTCTGAGATGGGCACATGTTGTGGCCTGAGGCGCTCTGGCCAAAGGGACCCTTTTCCAGGTTCATTAAAGCGAAAGAAGGATTTCTGCCAGTTGACCACACACAGCGGGGATGTTGGTTCCTGTTGTGCTTTAGCCCCTCAGTGGTTAACTGGCTGGGTGATTTCCACCTTTTGCAGATGTGGCTGTTTTCTCTGCGGTTGGAGAGGGAAAGGGTTTATTAGCATCCTAATAATTGTCCATCCCCCAAATGCTTTTATGTGTGATTTTGAGTGCATTCTAGGAGAGCAGTAGATGTGGCCTCCTACTTATTTTGTTTGACTCACACTGAAATTAGTCAGCTTTCTCGAGCACACCCAATTAATGAAAAGAGGAGAAAGCCCAGAAGCTCACTGACTTGCTAGGAAGGCCAGTCGAGATTTGTGGCAGCCTGTCTGTTGGCAGTATGGAACCTGGACAACTGAGTCAGATGCCTTGTCGAGAGCATTCATTCCAAAGCTCCATGCACATGCCTGGCAAATTCGTACGTTTCATCTGGTGTTGGTATTCTGGGATAAATGAGGCCAAGATGTTTTCTGTGAAACCTTAAATAAATGAAATTGCAGAAGCCAATTGATCTTCAGCCTTCTGCTACCCCATTTTAGTCATTAACTTGGGGATAGAGTACTGACCCACCCACAAAGGTGCCTGGAAGTGGTTTATATCAGGTGAATGTGTTGTCCACCCTGGCGGTGGTGACTCGCAGGCCTGGGCCACCCTCCCCGGTCTTCAACCCTCACACACAGAGCTGGGGAGCATCAGAGAGCAGACTGGCCTTTCAGAAGTGAGTGGAATAAGCAACCAGTCCCTCTGATGGCTGGAGGGGCATCAGACCGTGGGCTGCTGAGACTGAACAGGTTAGGAATTCTTAACTCCAGTGGCTGGCTCCATACCTCATCAGCTTTAGAGATGAGGTGGGGTCGGGTGAGTTGGAGAACCCTGCTGTCAGAGGCTGTGGACCTTGTGGGTGCCGAACCTCTCTGAGATGGGAGGTCTCGTGGGCTTTGGAGCTAGGAAGTCTAGATGGGGCTCCCACCTGCTACTCCACAGCTGTGTCTGATCCTCGAGCCAGGCTCCTCTTCTTGGAAACAACAATAATACCATTTCCTCTCGGGGTTGCCCAGGGGCTGAGATGTGCACCTGCACTTGGCGGAGTGCGGTACCTTCGGGGAGCCGAGGCGAGGATGGGGGTCCAGGGTCCAGCGTCACCTGCACTTAGGGGTTCCTGTCCTTCCTCTTCCCCGACTGTAGTCCTAATTTTAGTTCCAGAGGAGTGAAGCTTTCCTGTCTTTCCCCTCTGCCCTCTTCTCCAGGGAGGACTTGGACCAGGAGGAGAAAGCCAAGTTTGGGGAATACTGCAGCAGTGAGAACGGGAAAGGCCGGGAATGGTTTGCCCGGTATGTGAGCGCCCAGGTAAGGGGGTGACAGGGCTGTGGGGTGGGGCAGCCCACCTGCTCTGGAGAAACGACCCCACAGGAAAAACATGTGAAGCTCATCTAGAGATGTTTCGAAAAGGCCTTTTTAGAATAGTGGAAGATGCAGCCTGGCCTCTCAGCCACATGAAGTTCCAGATATGTTTGTCTTTTTAAAGACAAGCACATGGGCTGTGTCCCTGCATGTTTTTATTAAAGAACCCACAACATTCAATTTTCATAAAGTATTCAAGACAATGACAGCCGTGTAAGCTCAGATGAGAAGTTTTGTAAATAGCCAATAGGTACTTTTTTTGTTTTTCCTGTAAAATGGATGAAGTTCTTAGTTTTTAAAGTACTTTTTACTAACACAACTTTGCAAAGCAATTATGCTCCGATAATAAAATTTTTGAAAAAGTATTTTTTTATCACAAATAATTTATCCTTACAATACAAATTAGAAAATGCTGGTAAGCAAAAGTAGAAAAACTGCCCATAAATCCCCCATCCAAAAAATAGCTAGCCTTGTCACCTTGGGGTTGCATCCTTCCACACTTCCCCATCGGTGGGTGAGTGGGTGAAGTTCCTAGCTTTTAAAATCTCACAGAGAGACACAGGGAATGATGTGGGGCGGTCTGGGGGGAGGGCAGCCCTCTGCTGAGTCCAGGTTTCTGTGGAGCAGGGCTCATGCTGGGCCTGCGCGGGGCTGTGTGTAGAGATGCTTGGCACTTGGAGACGCTGTGGTGAGCCTGCAGCCCCTCTGAGCCGAGCACAGCTCTGCCAGCGGCTACCTGACCACCTGCCCTCTTCCTGGATAGCGCTGCAACTCCAAGTGCGTCTCGGAGCCCACCTTCTACCGCCTGGTGCAGTCCTTCGCGGTGGTCCTGTTTGAGTAAGTGATGCTGCGGCTCAGCGCCTCCGTCCTAACTGCTCATCTTTCCTCCCCGCCCCCCCGAGAGACCCCAGCTGTGGTCTCTCCGCACACACGCGTCATCAGCTTGACTGCTCTGACGCCCCCCTGCATCTGCTGGGAGTCGTGACCAGCATCTCACGGGAGAGTGCAGGGTCCCATGAGAGGAGAGGGCCACAGCTGGGCATGAGTCAGTCCCCCCTGCCTGTTTGGAGACAGGCTGTGATTCCACGGCCTGCCCTGCCCTCTTCCAGCCCAGATTAGGGTTCTCTGGACTTCCTGTAGTCCATGCACCACACCGCCCACTAATGAGATGGCTGGATGATGTCACCTGCCCAGACTCCTAGTGAGGCACTGCTGGGGCCTTTTGTCTCAGAGGGCGTCCTGGACCATGTGGGCTGGGGAGGAAGCCCACTGTCAATGTGTGGCCGTGGAGGCTGGCGGATGAGTCATGGGGCTCCTGCTCCTGAGGTCTGGGGCTCTAAGACTCCCGACCTGCTTCAGACGCCCTGACTTGCATCAGAGTTGGACATGCCCCCACAGTGTGAACCGGAGGAGCTGTATCTGCCTGGGGGTAACTAAGCAGTGACTTTAATCATGGGGTGGGTGCATGGGAAACCAGGGGCAGAGGGAAGCCCTGACTCTGATCTGGTCATCATTTAAGCCCACTTGCCCCCATCAACTCAGCGTGGCCTCGGAGCAGGTCTGTGGCTGGTCTGTGGCTTAGGCTGTGGCCACTTTCCTGTGTCTCCCCACCTTTTTCTGTTCCCATGAACACAGGGCATGGACTGGAGGAAAATTGCCAAAAGCAAGGAGCCCCTGTTTTTCTTACACTTGCTCAGAACATGCCAAGTTACGGGTGTGCTCAGGAGGAATCCAGATCTGGGAGCTGGCCTGGGCTGAGAGGCCTTGTGGAGAGAACCGAGGGCCAACATTCTCCAGGGGTGCATCGGGAGCTGCACAGAGCAGCCCCAGGAGGTCGGGGGTCAGCACACTCTCCCGCCCTGAGGACACTTTGACCTCCAGACATTTGTATCTATAGGAACTTTCATGAATGTATACTTTTTCTAGATGGTGTCACATATGGTATGCCCCATATGGTAACATGCCTATCTAATTCTCCATTTTTCTTTCAATTATTCCTTAAATAAGTACACTGGGTGGTTGGGGGAGTTAAATTTTAAACACAGACTCCTTCCATGACTTTGTTTGTGAGCGTATATGTTTTTTTATGGTTGCAAAAAATTTTTATAGAAATGTAGCTTTTTAGATTTATTGGATTATTTTTATATTAAATGATAAAGTGGCCCTCATTCCACTGTTTAGATAATGTCTGTTGATCTTCATTTTTGAAGTAATACTTATCTGAGGTGAAAAACTAAACAGGAAAGAAAGTGCATGAGGGGACAGAATGGAAAGCACAGAAGCCTAAGAGGAAAAGGAAAGCTTCTCTCACTTCTAGTCCGTCTCCCAGTGACAACCCCACTCCTAAAAACGC